CCACATTGCCACTGCGCATCCGCACATTGCTGCGCCCAAGACGCGTTTTGTCGCGGAAGGCGGCGATGACCAGTCACAGCTTGACGACGACGAGGAGCAAATGGAAGATGAAAGCGTGGATGAGAATGCAGACGTTGACGCCAGTGACCTTCACGAAGCTGAGGATGATGATGACCATCATGCAAATCATACTCTAGAAAATGGCGTGGCCGACACTACTGAAGTCGACGACGAAAACTACAAGCTACCAGAAGATGCGGATGGCGAAGAGCCAGAGGTTGCCGAGGCCGATGTGTCGAGCCAGTTGCATGAATTTTCGCGCGCTCAAGATCCCGTGACATTGGACCAACGCCTCCATAACCTCTGGAATGTTCACGATGTCCACCAATTCTGCAGTGATCATGATGAAAAGACTGCCAATCTAGAACACTCCTGGACTACATTGGTCAAGGAATCGAAACGCCCACGAAAGCGCGAAGCCCCTGATGAGCTGCAAGACCGACCAGAACCTTACAAGAAATCGAAGGTCTCTCCAGGAGAATTTCTTGAAATCACACCGCTCGAGGAATTCTTGAGTCAGCTTCGAGACCCTGAGCACCGTTCCTACGAGGAACTCTATGCTATCACTGAAAACGTCGCTTTCGCTCTCAAGGTATGGCAAGATGAGTATATGGCCATCGAAAGGCTGAACAAGCACGCCACCCGACACAACGCTAAACCAATCAGCGATCCCAGAAAGTTACTGAGGCCGCAAGTCTTTGAGGATAAGAAAGAGGCTATGCTCTACGGATACAAACATGAGCCGAAGGAAGATAAGGTGGGCTGGCAGAATCCGTTCACCCAGGGCGGCTTCAAACCTACTCCGGCCCAGTATCGCAAGATGACCGCCAAGCTCGGGCCCAATCATCCCAACCCAGATGGCTGGCCTACTATTACGAAATTCGGTGTCGAGCACGTCCCTAAATTCCAGAATCCGCCTCGGGAGGACTTTGTCGGCAAGGCTACCCGCAAGCGAAAAGCCGCGGAATTGGAGGCAGCCAACAGAGAAAAAGCGTCGTCGGTCTCAGACGAGGCCGCGACAGACTCACCCGCTCCGGTGGAACCAGAGGAGAATATACGTCAACGGCGCACGCGCACCCGTCGCCAAGGCACGGATTTCGAAGATCAATCCGACTCCGCTTCCGCTCCGCCCATCCGGTTTGCCACGCGCGGCCGTGGTAGCGGCCGCGGGCGCGGGCGAGGTGGCATTCGTACCATCACGATCAATGGCCCGTCTGACCCGTCTCAAGCGCCAGCGCTAGTGGCCCCCCCTCGCTCGACGACAATTCGCATCGAGAAGCCCACCACCATCCTGCAGACTCGACCTGGCACAGTTCAACTGACGCCTATTGAGCCAGCGCCGAGTAGTAACCAAGCAGCTGCACCTCCGGCGGGCACCCCAGTCGGGAGCACCCCGGGAGACTCGATCGACCCTGCGGAGCTTGCTCGACGACAGAAAATTGCCAATTCGAAGAATCCAAAGCGGACAGAAGCTATGCTCAACCATTGGGCCCGGTTCAACAAAGAGGGTCGGGTTCGCAATCCCAAACGCTCCAAAGCCCAGATCGAGGCGGATCGCGCGGCCGAAGCTGCCCGCAAAGCTATCGAACCGCCCAAAGTCGGTCCACGAAAGAAGAAAATGGACAGTCCGGGCTATGTAGGCCCGAGGATCGAGCAGGGAATTGCACCGGCTCCAGCTCCCATTCAGCCTGCGGCACCTCCTCCTACCTTAGCTCCCAGTCACCCGACTCATCCTCAGTTGGCGCCGTTGCCTGCACCGCGACCTCCTCTGAACCCTTACCCACCCATTGACACCCGGGGAGTCCCCTTCCCTGGACCTCACACTCTATTCCAACAGCCGGCACCTCAACCTTACCGCACACCTTATCCGGAGTATTACAGTCCTTACGCACCCACGCTACCACCACCACCTGGCCACCCACGCCCTGCCTAGATCTTGGTTGACCTTATCATTAAAATATCTATTGCGCAGTTCCTAGGAAAAAGTTGGATGCACCATGTACACTACAGTGATTCTTGTGCATATGTACTACCATCCTTGTGAGGCAGCCGGGAGACTCGCGTCTCAGTGCTTGTCTGTTTTGTCCCTTCTATTTGTGTCTTGCTAGCGATTGGCGCCGGGGCTTGATTCTGCTGTATCATTGTAGGATTCTGGGTTGGTTCAACAGGTCTGTTGTGGTGTATCGATTTAAGATTTCGAGGCTTCGCGGGTATGTACTGTACATTGTTGGATGGAGAATTGCTTGCTTGGAGCATGAAAAGCTATTAGATGTAATATATTGACTGTCAAGTAACACTGACTTGATTCTAACAAACATTGGTTAGTTGTTTGTGCTGTTGTTCTTTTCCTGAATGTGAATTGCGTAACATAGTGGTCCTCACATGCAAAGTCTTGATTAGATCTGAGACAGACCTTAATCAAGCGGACTCCGTCATATGGAGGTATATTGCTTTAAGATGCCTGAGCTATGACTAAAATTGAGTGTGAAGAAAGGTATTATTGATCACATACGATCACCTAGTAGATAATACTTGCTTCGCTAGCTAGCAAGAGTCAACCTGATATCTTACTTCCCCAAGGACTAAGCTATGATGTCGTATCATGTGACTGGCGACGCATGTCCTTCACGTGACAAGGCTCACCGAACCAACCTCAATCTCGTCAGCGGCGACTCACTCGCGACCAGAATCTCTGCATTCCAGTCTACTCCACCAACCTCTTTCTCTTTCTCAAATCTCACGAAGCGACCAGCTTCACAGTCACATTATGGGCAAAAAGAGACGCGGACCCACGTTAGAAGAAGTATTGGCTCGTCCGTGGTGCTACTACTGCGAGCGCGACTTCGATGACCTCAAGATCCTTATCTCCCACCAAAAAGCCAAGCACTTCAAGTGCGAGCGATGTGGGCGCAGACTGAACACCGCCGGAGGTAAGTTCTCCATTATCATATCAAGACGAGGAAGCCATTGTCTAACCTGGGTCCTTGGTTCTTAGGGTTGTCCGTGCACATGAGCCAGGTACATAAGGAGCAGCTGTCGGCGGTCGACAATGCTCTCCCCAACCGATCCAGTCTCGACGTTGAGATCTTCGGGATGGAGGGTGTTCCCGAGGATATCATCCAGGCGCACAACCAGCGGGTAGCGACACAGTTCCAGCAGGCAGAGGCCGAACGGCAGGCCGTGACGGGCAATCCGCCTCCCGGGACGACGGCGACGGGTGGACAGCCGGCGAAGAAGCCCAAGCTGGAGAGCGTTTCGGACCTCAAGAAACGTCTGGCAGAACACAAGGCGAAGATGGCGGAAGCGCGTGCGGGCGGCAGCAGTGGCGAGGCTACGCCTGTGGGAGCCGGTCAGACACCAACTATGGGTGGATACGTAAGTGATTTGTTGTCGTTTGAATCCATTCGACTTCGTATACTGATGTCATATTTTTTTCGGACAGGCCGCAACGTCCACTGCACCGCCGCCTGCGACCACTCCCTCTCAATTCTCGTACCCTCAGCCCTACGGCGCCGCCGCCGCCGCTTCTCCCTTCCAGCAATCCCCTCAACAAACGGCCAGTCCCGTGTATCCGACCTTCTCGCCCGGTGGCCAGGCGAATGCGCAGTATGCTGCTCCTCCCACGACCTTCTCCCCGCAGCCGTTCCCGACTGGAGTTCCCGGCCAACCGCCGTACGGTGCCACACCTCCGACATACCCGACGCAACAGTCCCCTCTACAAACACACACTCCTCCGCAGCCCGGGGGCGCATTCCCACCCCGTCCTGTCGGGTTGCCCGCTGCGCCTGGTCTCCCTCAGCGTCCGGCCGTGGGGGCACCGCAGGTCAACGCCTACCAAATGCAACAGATGCACATGGGCCACACGGTCCCTCCGACGACCACCATGAACGGCGCCGACAAGGCTCCCGGAGCGGCGGCGGAAAGCACCGGGCTCTCCGGCTCCGTGGACGATTTGATCTCCGGGGCGGCGAAGCAGGCCGAAGCGGCGACGGCGACGGCGACACCACCGACGATGACCACGACGACCACGACTGGCGGCAAATCGGCCGAGGGCGAGGACCAAAAGCCCAAGAAGGACAAGTCCAAGGCGCGATTGGTGTATTCGGATAATGAGACCAGCCCGGAGGAGAAGATGGCTAGGTTGTCAAGGTACGCATATGTTCCTGACCAGCGAGGGGAGACGGTACTTGAAGAGCTTCCATCCGCCGTGGTGGTGGGGGCGATCCGGGAGTCGGACACGGTGGTGGATGCGACGGATTAGTGCGAGCACATTCGTACACGCAGACACAAACACATGCCGAAGAAGAAAACAAAGCAAAGAAGAAAAGTTCAAAAAACAAAAAGAAGTTCAGTGCATACACATCAGCTAAGTTTCTGTTTACACACACACACACACACACACACACACACACACACACACAAACCAAACTGGCAATGTCTTGTTGTTGCTACTACTTGACTCGGTGGCAGTGGTAGGCCGTGACCCTGACCTTTGGGCATGGCCTTCATTTTCTCCTTCGGAAAAGTGAGCACCGACTGTGCATGCAACAAGAAAAAAGAGTAGTTGGTGAGTGCAGAACCTTTTGCTTTGTTACTTTCTTCGAGATCGAACGAATCGACGATTCCAGGGATTTTACTCGATTGATTGAGGGTTGGGGACAAGATTGGACGTTTAGTATGGAGGCCGAGGTGCTATATGACGATGTAAGTTGCGTCTAGAAGGTAGGCCACTTGAATATTGAAATATCAGATATCTATCAGTAGTAGTCGGTACAAGTCGGTAGATTTTGTTGAAGTATGTACCCCAAACTTATCATCGTTGCTTTTGCTACGTATACGCAACCGCCCCGTACAGTAGACAAACCATACCCCAGTACCAAACCCATAAGGTACCGTCAAGTCATGACCGGGTCCAATCCAAACCCCCACCCCCCAATAATTCATTTCTGGTTCAAGACCAACCCCCCAAAAACCCACACCCCATAGACCGCCACGAAGCTCAACACCGTGGGCACGGGCTTGCCGCCTGTCCGGATGGCGCGCGGGATCGAGCTGCCCGACAGGATCACCGAGGCCAGCAGCGCCAGCTCCGCGCCGTAGGGCTGCGCCGCGCGCAGCCGCAGCCCGCTCACCAGGTACAGCAGCCCGACGGTCAGGCCCGCCGCGATCGAGGGCACCGAGCCCGTGCGCAGGTAGCCGATTGTGCCGCCCAGGGAGGTCAGGAGGGCGAGGGTTAGGGCTGTTGTTGACTATTCTTTTGGTGTTAGTTTATCGATGGTTTGGGGGGGTGGGGGTTGAGGGGGTGATGGTTTGCTTGCTTCCTAGCTGGCTAGCTGGATAGGTAGCTGGGTAACTAGCTAGGAGCTGGGTGGTTGGGTGGTTGGGTTGGGTTGAGTTGGGGTTGGGGGTGGGTGATTTTGGGGAATGGGAAATGCTGCAGTGGACGTACCATTGTGATGGGGTTGTGATTTGAAAAGGTTCAGGTACAAGGGTGAGTTGTGGTGTTGATGGTGGTGTGTTGTTCAGATATGTTACGGATCGGTGGTTATTGGCGCCGGCCACTTCCAGGCTTATATGCTCCTACTCACTCCCGGCGGAATGGTCTGATAACTATCCGGGGTTGCTTGGGAATTAGTAATGCCTTCCCTTCCCTTCCTTCCCTTCCTCCTTCGTTCGGGCCTCCGGGCCCGGCGGGTCGGCGAGTCTGGATCCGTCTTTATACATCATCTGTTGTACTGTATACATCATCATCAATATAGCTAGTCTTCATCTACTTCTATCACACTCATATTTCATGTGTCACATAACACGTTTGCAAGCATATACAAAATCATCGCATCATTTAAACTTTTCCCTTTCCTCTTTTCCCTTTCCCTTTCCCTTTTTGAATCCCACCAGCTCATTTCTACTCAATTCATCCCCGCCTAGCCGTATTCTCAACAGCTCCATATCCACCAGTTTGGCTTTCCTCCGCACCCTCCACCTCTACCACCACATCCTCCTCCTTTCCATGAAACCCATCGGACTCCTCCGTCCAAAACACCGGAACGGCACTAACAGCTCCAAACACCGCCAGAAGCCACCACGGAATGATGATGAACCCCCGCTTCACGCCAAAAGAAAACGCCGACCCTGTCAGCGCCGGGCCCACCGCGCGCCCAATGGCACTAACACTCGTACCCACCCCGTTCAAGGTCCCCAGCACACTCAGGCTGGCCGCCGAGTTGGTGAGGAGGATCGTTGTGCAGGGGAACCCGAAGATCGAGGCAGAGAGCTTGCCCAGCATCAGCAGAAACACGACCACGTGGCGCAGGGACCCCGGCACGAGTGCCGTGAAGGGCGTCAACAGGTAAAGCACGGGGAAGACGATCGAGACCACCTTGAGACAGTTGAGCACGCCGTACTGCTTGGCGGCCGCGGGGAAGATCAGGAACTGCACCATCATGCCGATGATGCCGATCAACGTGTAGTAGATTCCGATGGTTTGGGAGTCTGATGGTCAGTTAGCACGTACGTGACCAAAACAGCACAGGATGAAAACACCCACCCACACCGAACCCTCCAATGAATTTGAACGGCAGACGCACGTCCGGGTTGCCTTCGAACTGCTGCGGCGGCGTGTGCAGGAAGACGGGAAATAACGAGTCAAACGCCATGGTATGCATCGACATGAGTGAGTACGCCAGCAGAATCAGGTTGGATTGCGGGGAGAACACCTCCGCCCAGCTGGGTTTCCGGGCTGACTTGGTGCGTGTGGTTGCGCGGCGCTGGCCCAGCAGTGCCGTTCGTTCCTCATCGGTTTCTGTGATGGTCGTTGTCGACAGTGACTTTTGGTCTGATCTGGCACTCCGACACGGCCGCGTCAAAGCCTGACCCAACACAAGCCCATAATCGCGTTGATGCTTCTTTGCAGCCAGCGTTTCCTAATCAGCGGCCCCACGAGAGCATCCGTCAGCACTTTCCCCCACTCCCCTTCTCACAGTAGGTATACGAAGCATAACTCACCTCCAAAAACAAAAACCCTGTCCCAATCCCCACCACAAAGAACCCCGCCGCCGCCAGATTCGGCAACAAAAAGGGATACCGGCGCAAAAACTCCCAACGTCCAAACACCTCCGGATGCTTCTCAACCGGCCGGGCCAGCGCGCCCCCGAACGCGGGCCCAAAGATACTCCCAATCGTCCAGACAAGCGGCATGATGCTGAAGGCGCGCGGCTGCAGCTCCTTCTCGGGGACCATCTCGGCGACCATGGTGCGGATGATGCCGACGTTGCCGTTGAGGAGGCCCAGCAGGCCGCGCGCGATTACCAGTAACGTCAGACTGCGCGCGAACCCGAACACCAGCGACATGACCATCGTGCAGGTCAGCCCCGTCAGGATGACGGGCTTGCGGCCGACCGTGTCCGACAGCGTGCCCCAGGTGACGGCCATGGCGGCCTGGCTGAAGGAGGTCACGGCCGCGGTGATGCCGACCCATTTGGCGATCTCGGGTTTGGGGACGCCGACGGATTCGATCATTTCGGGCTTTTTGGGGGTTAGTTTAGTTGGATTGGGTTTTGGGGTTTGCGGGGGTATGTATGCTACTCACTAGGTAGGGGAGGACGGAGGTGAGGACCACTATGGTAATGATGGGGGACATTGTTAGGATGGTGAATGCAATGTACGGACGAGCCGCGCGCAACCGGACTTTTAATGGAGAGGGCATAAGATATGCATACCTGGCTCTGCGAAGCGACATATTGCTGTGGTGAATAACCCGGTCAGTCGAGGAGACTTCTTTCGATGTGAGATCTTGACTGGGTGGGTGTAACCTCAGCCGAAGCAGATTTCTGGACTTACAAAGAATGACCAGCTGCCGCACGGGCAGCTGGGGGTTTTTCTTCAACATGCTGGCCGGGCGAGACCGGGTCAACAGTAAGAAAAAGCAAAAGGAAAAGGATAGAAAGTGGGTGAAGAGGTGAAGAGAAAAAGAGAAAAGAAATTGGGGAGGAGGAAAGAAGAGAAAGAAGAAGCCGAGAGAGAAGCCGGAAAGAAGACTAACCAGTCGAGGCAGCGGCGGCGCGAGGGCGTGTGACCGGAGAGAAGATGATCAACATGCAAAAAACCCACTTGCTCTCTCCGAATCATTGTTCGGGATGTTTTTCAGCTTACTCGAACTAAATTGGTTGCTTATCTGCTCTAACTAAGGCGCATCGACACTATATTCCGATTCCCGGTCTGTGTCATTTCAACTACATGTTGATGCTTACGGCTGCTAGAATGCTTCCCGCCCTTCTACATCAAACTATATCCGACTTGACCTTATGGTTGATTGCTCTTGCTTTCAACAACTGATGTTCCAACAGCTTGTAAGTTACCAAGAATTGTCTACGATCACATCAGACAGTCTCAATTTACAAGGTGAAACAATCTCCGATCCGCCAGCCCCTCTTGCTTGGTCCTTGCATGCATGCACTTCCCGGTCAGCTGGCATGCAATCCTGCAGGCCCCCTCATCCCACATACTCTACTGCAGCAGCCGAGTGGCCGCTTCGATGCGCTCCAGAATAATTGAGCGCCATTTCTGGAAACCAAGTTAGCAACATCCCTCACATTCTACCTATAGCGAGCGAGAACATACCTGAGAGTTGGTCAGATCGCCCGCCTCCAGACTCTCCACCAGGCCCGGGTAAGTTGCCCCGGAATAGCCGGTCCAGATGCCTGGGGCAAACACGACGTGCTTGTACCAGCTGCGGCCATCCAGCCCCGGCTGGTACAAGAACTGCTTCTCGATGCTCTTGTACTTATCGTTCACCACACGGATCTGGAAGAGCAGCCGGACCTTCTTCCACCAGTGGTACCACGGCACATCCTCGCCCAGCTGCGAGGCCAGGTCCGCCGCATGGGCCTCAAACCGCGCGGCCGCCGCTTGGAACTGCGCAATAGCCTGGTCCAGCGGCGCAAAGTCGAACGATGTGCCTTTGGGGAGCTGCTTCGCCACCGGCTTGATCTGGCTGAGGTACTGCTCCAGCCCCAGAGCGTAGTCAGTTGCATTGAAGGCAATGATCGGGGTCTCGATCAGCTTGGCCGCGGCGAGCGCCCAGATCTTGGTGCATGCCTCGTGGTATTTCCAGCTTGGATCGCCGAACCGGTCCATCCAATCGAAGCTATCATAGTTCGAATGGTAGTGGTACACGGCATCCGTGGGACCACGCCCGAAGCCAAGATCGTAGCTAGCCACGCCCGCAAAGTCCTGGAAGGCTGTGAAGTCGCTGCCGCTACCCATCGTAGCAATATGGCCATCCCAGACATCCCGCACGGTTTGACCCGGCACAGTCTGGTTTGGGGACTGCACCAAGCCGGTCACCTCGTAGATAAGCTGGTTCATCAGCGGGCTAGCCCGTGGCTCCAGCAGGGTACCGGCCGCAGCCACATCCACGTTCAAGTAGGCAATGTTGGCCTTGGAGAGCCACGGGAGCTGGTCTTCTACCCACTCCGTCGAGCCCAGCAGCCCGTACTCCTCACCATCCCAGCTGGCGAAGACAATGGTTCGAAGCGGCTTCCAGCCCGCCTTGAGGGCCTCTCCAAAGCTGCGGATGACCTCATTCAGCGCGGCCGATCCACTGTTGGGGTCGCCAGAGCCGCCAGCGATCCACGCATCGCGGTGGTTGCCCAGAATCACCACCTCATCTTGGATGTGGCCTTTTACAACCCCAATGACATTCCAGAGGGGTGTCGTCACATACTCCTGCTCATTGTACAAGTTGATGACGACATCATCTGGCGTAGGACCGATATTATACTCTACCCCCTTGGAACGCAGCTTACCGCCCTGCCACCACTTGTTGAAGTCCGAGGCTTTGGGACCATGACCGTTCAGTGCCTTCAGAAGTGGAATCACCTCCTGGTACGAGATAGGCAGCGAGGGAATGGACGGGATCGAGTTGAACGGGTCCTGTCGCTCACAGCCGGGCTTGGAGGCATACCCTGGGGTAGTCGGGTCACCAGGCGCTATGCCTAGTTGTCATGATCAGTCACACCGGAGCCAGGGATGCAGCTGAAAGTAGGAAAGAAGGAGTTTACGTACTTAGGAACTGCGTACTACCACGCTGCACGGCGCTCGGGTTCCGCGCGGGACCCTTGGGATACGCCTCGTAGCCGTTCTCCTCGGTAATCTCCCCGTCAGACTCCGGGTCATCGTACAGGATGACACCCACCATCCCGAGCTCCTGCGCCCGCTTGACCTTCAGCCCGCGGAAGATGCGGCCATACTTGCAGATGGCGATCTTCCCGGCCAGGCTGACGTTCGCATCGATCAGGTCCTGGAAGTCGTACACGGTGCCGAAGTTGGCAAACACAAAGGGCGCCGTGACGTTCCCGCTCGCCGAGTAACCGTGGAAAGTCGGCACGCGATCCGTCAGGTTGGTCGTGTGGTCTTCCTCGAGGATGTCCTCTTCCAGGGTGGCCTCAAAGGTCACCTCGGTGGCATCGCCGTTCTTCTCCAACAGGGCCAAGCGGTGATCTACGGGGTAATTGAGGAAGATGTCATAGGCGACAATACTAGTGTCGTCGATTCCGAACTCCTGCCAGCGTTCCTGAGTCCATACGGCCTGGCTCAGGTTCTTGCCAGCCAGATGGGGACCGGCGGTGTAGTAGCTACTCCATTCCCGAGCCTTCTCGGCGGATGGGGTCTCGTGGAGCAGAGCCTGCAGCTCTTCGAAGCCCAGACCATGGCCGTGAGGCCAGGAGGCATGAGGGAATGGATTCGCCCAGGGAAGGTAGGACCAGATGGACCCATGCTCACGAGGAAGAATGGCAGAGGGGACGAGAAAGAGAAGGACAGAGACAGCAAGGATAAAGCCCAGGACGAGATTACAGGATCGTCGAAGGGCGTGGTGAGGGTATCGGTACCGCCGAGGCGCGATAGCGACACTTGTGAGCAACGGCGTGGATTCCGAGGGAGCCATGGCTTTCTCCCTCATCTCGGGTACCATAATGTGTATCAAAATGGATCAATCTAGACCCAATGATGGAAGAGACAAAAGATAGAAGAACCAGCTAGCTAGCCAGCACCCATCGCAGGAAGAATGAGGAAGAGAGAGAGAAAGGGAGAGGAGGAAGAAGAGGAGGAGGAGGAGGAGGAGGAGGGGAAGGAAAAGCAAGTGGGAAGCTAGGTGAGATGACGACGAGGTTATCAGCTCCAGTTGGATCTCCGCAGATGAATCAGCGTCTATCTTATCACTGCACTAACAGTCACCTGCTAAACCTGGTCTAGCTCCAGCTCCACACCGTGACAGTCTCGGCAGTGCGGCACCCTTCATTCCATTCCATGGATCTTTTGGAGAGTCATTGTAGTCACTGTACGCTAATCTCCCAACTTATTTACTCACAATCACGGAATCGCACGCCATCATCAAGAATCTACTTCCTGCTTTTCACGTAACATTCCGCTGATGAGAGCCCACCAGGCTAGTTTCACTCAAACAGATAGGTATCAATCGTAGAACATAGAATGTACATACATACATACAGCGCACCGCCAACACGCCCCTACCGATGCACAAAAAAGACCATGCAAGGAGTAACAGATAGGCTGAGACAAAAGAAGAGAGTTTTTTCCCGCCCAATTATCAAGCCGCCAATTACAATCAAACAGACGCTGTCTCTTCCACGTTCGATTCATCTGGCTCCTCAACCGTGATCTTGTCATTCAATGCAGGATTCACAGTTTCGCCGAGCTCCATACTGTCGCGTAGAATCTGTCTCGCCCGCTCGTCGCCCACCTTCATGTCCTCCTTGACAAGCCTCATCACCAATTCAGGGACCAGAACGGCCTGTGCATACCCGGCGACGCCTGCCGTGTTGATAATATGGTCCTGAGGGCCGAGGCGACGCAATTTGCGAGCATACCGTGCCATAATATATTCGAGCCTAGAGTAGTGATGCATTAGTCGCGCAACCGAGCAACAAGAGGAAGGAGGTTGCTCACATCAGGGAAGAACCGCGCGTTCCGTAATAGCCGCATGAAATATCCTCCAGTCCATCACTGAGCAAATCAAGCTTGAAGTTCTTGGCTTCACCAGCCTTGAGCTTGGTGTCCAAGATGTTTCTGTAAAATGACGAGCTTCCCGGCTCCAAGACCCGGTCGAGTCCCTCCAAATGCGGCTTGATCCGGTCCTCGAATAAGTCCCAGTCGATGGTCGGATAGCCTTTCTCTTGCCACTCTCTCTCGCCGGCTGTACTCTTGTGGGATTCACAAAATCGTCGTTGTTCGCGCATCCGTTGCTGTGGCTGTGCTTGAAAGCGTTCGAGGAGCTCGCGAGGCACCGGCTCTTTGCACCACGGACACAGAGAAGGCTCCGAGGTGTACATCTCGTCGTCGGAGTCGAGGGAGGGATCGTCAAACCGAGACAGCTCCTGCAGCAAGGTTGACGATGCGGAGCTCAGCGCCCCGTCGGACAACGAGTCACTATCATCGAGGACTAACGAGACAAGGTCACGAGCGGAGGGAGTAGCGAACGAAGAGCCGGAAGTGGCAGTCGGGGGAAGGGGAGGAGGCGCTTTGAATTCGGGTTTCGGGCTAGAGTCCAGGGCACGCGGCATCTTGAACCCCTCCTTTGAACTGCGCGATTCACTTGCGCCAGTCGAGTTCTTTCTCAGCTTTCCGTTCCGCGCACCAGCCGAGGGGGACTGCGAGGCCGCGGGAGACGTCCAGCTCGGTGTAGAGCCCGTCCCGAACGATTTCCTCGAGCCATAGCTGACCGCGGGCTTCCGTCGCTTGGAGCTCTGCGATGACCGGAATTGCGACGAAAAGAGGACATCCTCCCCGTCGCTTGTCAGATCTGCGCCATTGAATGTGTCCACGAATGTCCTCTTGCGGTCCGAGGTGGCGGACTTCGCCTTCTTTGTCGCGGGTCTTTGCCGGGAAGCCCGCGGCGTCTCCTCGCCTTCAGGTGAGCGTCTGGCAAGTTTCTCCTTCAATGTAGGCCCGGTTCGGGCCGTATAGCGACTCGGCTCGCCCAAGCCATCGTCCGACAGCTCGGTGGGGGTGTGACCTTCGTCTTCGCTTGTGCTGAGGGGCTCGTCATCCGTTGCCGGTTCAGGTCGCGAGCTTTCTGGTAGGCTTCGCTCGTGGGTGCGAAAGCTCGTGAGGAGATGCCCTCCAGGGATGGGGTCGTTTCTGGTCAATCGGTTCGAGGCGAAGCTCGAATTGGGCTTCATTCTTGCGCGTGTGGTAACCGACATGACGGATGGCGGTTTGACGGACGTGGGGGGGAGAAGGAAAGAGGATATCGTGGGTTCGGCAGTTAGATCAATTAAGAGGTAGGTGGGTACAAGATAAACATGCGAGTGGTGTGCTGGGAGCAGTATCGCTTGTTCAGATATCGAAGGGATGTGTTATGCGGAGTGCGTTTTGAGCGTGCTTTTTCTTTGTGGTGGTATAAGGAGTGACGGGCGTAACTCGGTAAACATACGACAATCTCGCTGATAAGAAGAAGTCAATCCAGAATATAATCAGCTCACATTAACTAGTACCATCAAGGTAGTATGTACTCAGAAATCAAGGCAAGGAAGCAATAGTATGTCCAATAAGGGCGGGTATTCGAGGTAAAAGGAGAAGCAAGAGGAGGATTCGGAAATGAAAGATGCGGTCGAGGAGGGACGCGCGCGGGTGACACGCTATCGGCGGCCCTTCTCCGCACGGCAGCTTGGACGGTGGGCGGATGGAGATCCTCCCGCGAAGACACATTCTACATTCTGCCTTCATGCAATACGAGTACACCAACCTTCGCCACTAACAGCTGCTGAATAATTTGTACTACAATGTTTCCCCTATCAAGCTAAGGTAGGCACATCCCATACAGGGTTTATCCCTGTTTTGCGAGACGCTTGCGGAGCGATCGGAAAGGCATCCCCCAAACTTGACGTTCAAAACTTATGCGAGATGTATATAAGGTATAGTATGTAATTAAGTAGACAAATATCGGTTCCAGATTGAGACCCATATAGAAAGGTAGTCAGCGGGCCTGAATCCCCTGGGCGGCGAATATTAATGGCCTCAAAACACGTCAGAGATAGCCTCTGGCCCGGAAGAATGGGGGAGAAAGTCGACGGCCAGACACGGAGAATCGAACCGCATGGCTTGCAACAGAATCAGCAACAGTAACGCAGTTTCATGCCTAAAATTTCCGGTTGGCCATATCAGCTGTAGACGTGGCATGTAAGACACAAAGAAGAATCGAAACGAATCGGAAACCCAGGGTAATTTGGTAGAAGAGGCCGTCAACCAAGACACTGACTCAGCGCTTGAGCAACGTCAGCATGTACAAGAATGGAAGTCTCGTTCACGTCATAGTAGCATATTCTCATGCCTCGTCATTACTCGAAAGTCATCTGAATTTCACTTTCACCGCCATCTCCAATGTCGTGTTCGGCCCAGGCGTTGGGCTCCAAAGCCATAGCACCCATGGTACTAGCACCCAGAGCAGGCATCGTGGCTGCGGACCGAAGCTCGGGTCTGGCAGGGTGGGCATCATATGAATTGGAAGCCCCGAACGAGGAATGAGTCCGCGTCGGTGGCTCGTGAAAGGAAGTATCAAAGGTCATCTCAAATTCCTCTTCGTGATGCTGAGAGTACGGTGGAGCCTGGCGAGAAGGACTATGGCTTTCTTGCTTCTCCGGAATCGTCTCCGGTGGCGGGCTGGGCTCGTAAGACCTTGTCGCTTGAGATTTCGATGGTGTCAGGGCAGGCGATGGACTCGCGGGGGTGCTCAAGTCCAATTTCATGGGTGGAAGGGTAGATTCAAGCTGTCTAACTTCGAGATTCTCTGAAGCGAGCTCAGCCCGGATGGCATCAATATCAAACAATACTGACCCAGTTCCGTTATTGGTATCGGTAGAGCTCCGTGCTGTGGCATCATTGCGATCCACATCATATGTCTCCCATTTCTTCTTCTGTGCAAGTTTGCCACGCTTAAACAATCCGAAGCGCTTCTTCTCTGGCTTTTGCTCGGCGTCACGTCGTGCCTCGTCAATCTCACGAATGAGCTCCCTTTGCCGCTCGGCATGATTTTCCGGGTCAGGGTCCTCGATCTCTGCGAATTCCTCGCTCACAACCTCCCACCCGACCTCCTTGAGCAGCCGGGGGATTGCGGTACGGTAGTCCATGTGGCCATTGACCAGTTTCGTGAGATCAAAGTTCTCCAGTCCTGGAATGCCTTCTATGGGAGCGAGGCCTGCTACCTTCATGATACCGCCACTTGTGGCTCGGAATAGATATCCCAGAATCCAATCATTCGAAGCGTAACCATTGACGAACCGACCAGAGATGACACTGCGCGCCTTGAGATATTCGTCCCTATTGGCCACCATGGGCGACCCGAAGAGGTAAACATTCTGCACCAATCCGTATGCGCCCTTGTCTGCAAGTTCCTTCAGGCAAGAGAAGATAACCCTAGCACCAAGAGAGTACCCCACAAGCGTGACAGGTCTTTTCCCTAGATTATGCACCATGAGGGAGTCTGCAAGAATCAGACCGGCCGCATTTGCGCGAGTGAGCGAGACATTCCAAGGATTGTCAATGAGGTATGACAGCTTGGTAAGTACAAGAGGCAGCTGCAGAGACGCCATCAAAGCTACCAGGACAGTCTGTCCTAGGACTTGCTGAAGACCTTGCGTTAAAGCCTAGAATTTATCGTTAGCCCTGCTGTCGATTCAGCTATTTCTATAAACTCACCTCCGTGGCTAGAATGTTTATAGTATCTCCCATACTCCGCAGCATTTCAGGCTCCCATAAGACTGAGTACAGATCACCCATGATGGGGTCAACGGTGCTGAAGGGCAGCCGTACATCATCTACTTTGCCGGTCATCCAGCCAGAGACAGTGATAATCAGATTTACCCTCTTGTTGTTGTGCAGAGGGCGGTACTCAAAGGTCTGCACTGCTCCCATTCTTCTCTGTGAAGCTCTCAAGCCAATCGTACTCCCAGTAAGTGTAGCACCAGAAGCTATCAGCGCTGTGCCTCCAACACCGCCGAGGAACGCACTTGTTCCTGTAATACCAACGGTGGTAAACCCGGCTGCTAAGCCAGCACCGATGACTGGAGCCAGCAATCCGGCGGAGAGGCCGATTACCAGGCCACCACCCACTGTGGCCAAGCCCATAATCATATATTTATGTTTCAGCGCCATCTTGCGTCTCTTCTCCATATGTTCAGTCTCGTCCCAATTCTCCTTATCTGCAGCCTCTTGCATCTCAAGAGCATCGATCACACGTTTTTCAAATCGGGCAATCTGCAGCCACGGTACTTCCATTGATTCACCTACTCTTTCGAGTAGGGTCCGTGAACGGGCATCATAGGCAGAATCGGCGATAAGGACGAGAAACAAATCGCAGAGCACGGTCCATCGCAGATCAATATCGATCTTGGCCGAGGTAGGCAACTGGGATGGGGTCCGAACCTCCGGAAGATCTTCCCCCTCATGTGTCTCGTAAGGTGGCGGAGATGTTGACCTGGATGACTGGTCCAGTTCTGTTGAGATACTACTCCGGTACTCTTCCCTGAGGCGAGGAGACGTAGGCGAAGACATAGATCTCTTGGGTGTATCAGTCTCATCAGCTAGAGGATTCTTAACGCGGGCATTGCTCATGAGCGGTCGAACGAGATCTGCGGGCTGCACGCCGTGTTCCGCCAACTGCTCAATCATGACCTGCTCCGCTGCATCAATCTCCATATGAGAATAGAGCCTGGCCATCATCGTTTGACTCCACTTGCGCATAGAGTCGATACCACCTTGTCTCGCCTTACGGCACCCTTTGATGGAGGGTATTCTGTTCATGTCCAGGGCCATTTGCCACAATGTCAGCCGGGTGACCCCAACGTATGCGATCCTCTGACTCTCGGTCAAAAGGTCTTTTGTAGCCTGCATCTGGCTTGTGGGGTCACGCAACTCCTCGTCTACCCCGGTGGAGGTCGCGTGGCTGTCCTTGAAGAGATAACTTGTGTCTTCGTCCATACTGGTCGCAGACTGGGCATCGTCATCAAGCTGCACCCGAGTGTATCCTTTACCGGCCCCACCCAGGCCACTGTAAACAGCTTCATCGCCTTCTATGTCCCTTGAGCCCTTTGCCACAAGTCGGCCATAGTCGTCATAAACATCCATGTCGCCCAGAGCAGGCATCTCCTTCCAGCCTCCATCGTCATCCTCCTCATCATTCTCCTCCTCATGATCTGCCGCTGTGTTCAGGCGCTGATGCGACCATTCGGAAGGCTCCAGGGACTTCCGCTTGGTCTTGTGAGGCTCGATTGAATGCATTGCATCATCTTGCGATGGAGTCTTCGTATACGGCGGTGGAGGCTCCTGATCCCTAGGGTATTCGCACGTCTCGCGGGCCGCAGGAAGATTTGTTGAAACTTGAGGTAAGACTTCCTTCTCTTGTACGGCAGGCGTCAGAGATGATGGAGCTGTTCCTTCCCTGTCATCTTTCCCAACGACCAGTGGCTCTGCCGGTGTCTGTTCACTAGGCGTTGACTGCTTGGCCGCGATATCGTCTGTGCTCAGGTGTCCATCTTCACCGTCGCTCTCGCTCCCCTGGCTCTGGGGAACATCATGACAGGTCTCCTCACTCTCAGAAGACACCCTCCTCGGCCGCACCCGGATCGGTAATCCAAAATCGTCAAGCTCATCCTGCTGCTGCTGCTGCTGCTGGGTTTGCGAGCTAGTCGCCGCCGTGGCTAATGCACTGGTGTGCGCTGCCGGTTTGTCTGAAGACGCCTCCCCCCTTTCTTTATGAACAGCGTTGATCTTGACATCTTCCTCCGATGATGTATCAGGTGTCTCGCTTGGCGAAACAGGGGCATTGGTCAATCCCTTCAAGGTGCCCGAATGGTGTGACAGATCGGCAGTGTCGTCGTCGACAGACTGGTCAACAGGACTGGGACTGGAGACTGCGCTCATTCTTCATTTGAGTGTTTGATATGCCCCCCACACTGGCTCGGAACAGAGAAAGAGTTATCACTTTTCTTTTGCTCGGAACCACACTTCAGGTGGATGTGCTCCCTCTAAGTTTCTATCCCTAATACCACCGTGCTGAAGGTTGCGATGGGGTTTGCCGACCACCCATTCGTGCGATGTTTCCGGCTGCGCTCGACGCTTTTCGACCACTCGTTTGAGCTCTCGTATGATCCGGGGACAGGTCGAAGGAAGGAAGGGGAGGAAAGGTGGTTGGCAACCAGGTATCGGGGTCGGGGAAGGTTTCGAGGGCTGGCTGATGATACACACTAACAAAGCCAGCAGAGAAGCAGGCCGCGGAGGTGTCAAGGTTGAGTTCAAGGGACTTGGAATCCCGGGTGGAGCACGCGGAGGGGGGAGATTGGTGGGTGGCTGATCATGAACGAGGGGGGGGGGGATGGGACGATCAGCCAAGTTTCCCGCTGATGGTTAATTGAAGGTGGCAGGTAGCGAGAGGCAAGGGAGTCTACCTAGTAGCTAGTCTGCAATGCTTCCTAGTCAGTCAGCAGTACAAACGAATCCGTTTGGGGCCGAATTGGAAACAAGCCTGCGACCAAGCCAGGTACGTACTGTGCAATGGAAATTAGTGCTCAAGTACAATAGACTACACCGTAGTAGT